ATCAGCTTTCTTCACCACATTGGAAGCACATTTTTAGTACCAGCCTAGAGTTAGAAGTCCTGAGTTCTGATTCACCTAAGCCACTGCACTATCCTCACAGAGGTGCATCTGAGCTCTGGTGGTGTATAGTGGTTACATCTTGGGCTGCAAACCACATGGTTGGCAGTTCAAAACCCCCAGCAGCTTGGCAGAAGAAAGATTGGACTTTCTGCTACCATAAACAGTTATAGTCTTGGAAACCCACAGGGGATTGCTGTGAATCAGCATTGATTCTATAGTAGTGAATTTAGTGTAATTTAAATTATTTTGAAGAGCACCAAATAGAATTCAATGTCTTAAGATAAATTATTTTAATATTATACTTTCTCATAAAATGATGGGTTTACTTTTATTTTTTATTTTAGTGGAAAGAAAACAGTTGCCATGTCAACTGTTTTTATGTGTACAATTCAGTGCGACATCACAGAGTTTAGCTTTTAACATGTATCTTTAAAGAACTTGCTGCAGTCACTGGTATAGACTTTACTCATTCTTAAGCCAAATTGTCCCCCAACTGAACAGAGCCCTTACATTATACTGAATCTATGAGAAGATGAAATGTATTGCATAATTTGACCATAATACAAATTAATTTTATTTCTCTGTGACCACTAAAAAGTCACCAGGGAAAGAAACTTACTGGATTTTTGCCTAAGCCTGTGATGCCTAATGTAGTGTCCTTTGTTTATCTGTCTACAGAAAGAAGAAAAGAGGGACTAACTATGTTGCTGAAAGGACAGCAGCCAGCAGGAAGCACATCAAGAGCCCTAAAAATGTGCGTAAGCAAAAGGAAATACTCCTTTTATGCTAACAGCACTCATGGGGACGCGAGTGAGGGCAGGGAACGGGAGCTTTCCTACATGACGAGTAGCGATGGAAAGCAAGACGGTCACTATGGAAAAGAGTGTGCTTCTTACAAAGTTCAGCATACACAACACACAGAGCGTGGCGATTATGCCTTGGGAGGCTGAGGCGTGGTCAGCAGTTTGAAATCACCAGCCACTCCACGGGAGAGAGAGGAGATTGACAGTCTCTGAAACCCATCAGGGCAGTTCTACCCTGTCCTAGAGGGCTTCTGTGGGTTGCAGTAAACCTGATGGCAGTGAGTGAGAACATACTTGTACAAAACCCCACTCTTAGGTATTTACTCAAGAACAATAAAAAATATATGTCTACTCCAAAGCCTATACTCAAGTATTTATAGTTGTCCTCATGATTGGCCCAAAGTAGAAACCACCCTCATGTCTCTCAGCTGGGAAATGAATAAGCAGACATATCAGGGAAATTCAAAAAGTTCCTGGAAAAATAGAATTAAAAGATGATGGAGTTTTCTCAGGAACTTGTTGAAACCCCATCATAAAATGAAAAACAAACAAGCAAATGAACTTCAATAAAATGAAGCAAACTCCTGATATACAACAACATGAATGAATCTTACGTGAAAGAAGCCAGACTCAAAGCCTACACCTGTTATTTCATATCTGAGGAGAAGACATCCTGGGAAAGACAAAAGTATAGAGTCAGAAGACAGATCAGTAGTTCTGAAGGCTGGGTGTGGGAAAGAGGGTTCCTACAGAGCAGCAGAGACTTGCGGAGGGCTAAGGGAACAGTTCTCTCTGTTGGCTGTAGTGATGATTACAACTGTCTGTCAAAGCTCAGGGGGCTGGACACTGAAAAGAGAATTTTACTGTGTAAAGGATGCCTCTATAAGCCCGATTTTAATAAAAAATGTTTGTTTTTTACAAAAAGGATATACCCTTCTCTAATTCTACTTCTAGTAACTTATCTGAAAGAAACAACTGGACAAATATATATAGGAAATAAGGATGTCCTAATTAAAGTTTGTTTGTTTATTATAGCTAAAAATTTAAATTTTCAATTAAAAAAGTTCAAATTCAGGGAATTAAATATAAAATACATGAAGGTACTTCTATACAGTAAGTACTATGTCATCATTAT